TGCTGTAATGAATACCCTTGATCTTCTTCTGAGTCATCTACAGGATAAATTCCTAGAAGTGGGCCAGATGAATATAGTTTTATAATTTTGATAGGTATTTTGATCTGGGTCACCAAATTCAGTCCATGGATTGGGGAAGAATGGTACCGTTTTTCATTCCCACAGTAGTGTATTGAGAGTGCCTTCTCCCCAGTCTTGACAACAAATTATGTTCTCAAACTTGTGTTTTGTTTTGCCAATCTAATGGGGGGAAATGCTATATAAATACATCTTCAATTGTATTTCTTTTTATTATGAGTGAACTTGAGCATCTGTTAATGCATATAGGGGACCTTTGTATTTCTTTTTTTGCAACTCTGTCCCATTCTTCTATTGGATTGTCTTATTGGTCTCTAAGAGCTATTTATATATTTGGGTATTTAATTCCTTTGTCTCAGATACAAGTTGCAAATATCTTACCCAGTTTTTCTTTTGTTTTTGCTTATGAATTTTTGTATCATGAGGAATTTCTTTTTTTATTTTTATGTAGTCGCTTTTCTTAATATTTTTTAGAGGGATCTGGATTTTGAGTCACAGTTAGAGAATTTTCCTTTTATGTAAAAGTTTTCCTGTCTATTGTTCTTCTTTTGTGGTTTCATATTGAACATTTAAATATTTAACTCATCTCGCTTTTATTCTGATGTTGTTTTTCCATATGGCTACCAAGTTGTTCCAATAGCACTTTTTTTTAAAAGAGAAAGTTCATCATTACACAGTGATTTGAGATGCTGCCTTTATAATATAATAAATTCCAATATGTTTTTGGGTCTGTTTTGAACTTTTATTTCATTCCACTCATTGATCTGTCTCTTTATGCTGTTTTAATTATGAGACTTTATACCATGTTTTAATTCTAGTAGTTCTGATTTTATTGAGTTTTGTTTTTAAAAAATATGTGTTTGGGGTTTTGTTAGATTCTTTTTCAGCATTGGTGGAGAAGATCATATAATTTTCCCCCTTACATTTATTCTGTATTAATTGATAGTCTAATAGTGAGCCATCTTTCATTTCTGAAATAAGCTCCACTTGGTTGCACAGTATCATTCTTTTAATGTGCTGATAAGTTATGATTGCTAATTTTTTATTTAGGATTTTGCATTGATATTTAGAAGCATAATAAGCCTACATATTGGCCTATTTGTTTTATCTCTGTCAGGTTATAATAACAATGTTACACTGAAAATGCAGTGTTGGAAATTAAGAACTAATTGTGTTAGTTTAACAGTAGAATGGAGACTGCAGAAGACAGGATTAGTGAACCTGAAGACAGTTCAATAGAAAATACCCAAACTGAAGCACAGAGAGAAGCAAAGAAGAATGGGGGGAAAAAAGAAGAGAGAGCAAAGCCATGTGAATATGAGACACAGTTTAAAGGTCAACATATATGTAATTGGAGTCTTAGAAATAGAGGAAAGAATGGGGTAAAAAATATTTCAAGAGATAGTGTCTGAGAATTTTTCAGAAATGATGAATGATATTAATCCAGGGTTCACAAAGCTCAGCAAATCCTTGGTGGTAGAAATGCTGAAAACCAAAGCAAAAAGAATATTATAAAACTAGTCAGAGGAAAAAGACACATTACCTTAAAAGGCACACTAATAATACTGATGGCAAACTTTTCAGCTGAAATTATGGAAGGCAGAAGATAATAAAATGGAATTAGTCAAGTGTTGGGGGGGGGTGCTAATTTAGAATCCTTTATCCATTGAAAATATCCATAAACCTTAGGACAAAATAAAGACATTTTTAGATTAAAAAAAAAAGCTAAAACATTATAGAATTCTTTATTGGCATTGTTTTCCTTTATATTGAAGAAGCTATTTCATTGTGTTTTAGTTTCCATTGTTTCAGTTGAAAAGTTAACTGTAATTCTAACCATGAGTTCTTTGAAGATAATGTTTTTTTCCCTCTGGCCACTTTTAGGATTTTCTTTGTCTTTGATTTTCTTTAGTTTCAATGCAATATATTTATATATGAATTTCTTTTAATTTATCCTACTTGGTATTCATTGGGTTTTTAGAATTGTGAGCTGATGCCTTTAATCAATCCTAGAAAACTCTTAATCATCATTTCTTGAAATGTTATCTTTGCTTCATTAGCTCTTTCCTCTGCTGAGCTTCCAAATGAACACTTTTACACCATTTCACTCCATCTGCCTAGTCTTTTACCCATTCATTGTGCATTTCCCATGTATTTTTCATTTCTTCATATTGCTTTTTTGTATTTTCTGAGCCATCTTTAAAATTAATAAAATTCTCTTATTAAGCATATTCTTAGAGTTTTTAAAGTTTAGGTTATTTTATTTCTACAAGAGCCTAGAGTGTGGTTCTTTTTCAAATTTTCTAGTTTTTTGTTTTTTTTTAAATTTCCTATTCCCTGAATATAGTCAAGCTCATCCTTTGTGTCTTTAAATTACTAAGCATAGTTGTTTTATAGTCTTTATGTGATGTGTCTAGTATCTGATTCTTTGTGGATCTGTTTCTGTTTTTTTGTATTTGTAGGTTCTCACTTATGGAATTTTGTTTCCTTGCAGGCCTCGTTCTGTTTGGCAATGTGTGTGGTTTTTTAATTTTTACTTTATTATTTTTTTTAATGTTGAAAAATTTGAAACTTTGGATGCAGGTATCTATCTCCAGAGAGAAGTGAATTGCTTCTTCCAGGTTCCTGAGGGTGAAGCTAGTACATGACTACTAAATTCAAGGCTTGATGTTCTCTGCAAGACATAGACAAATCCAGTATAATATTTAACTCTGAACTAGGGCCAGTCTACTTCTAGTTCACCCTCATCTTGAGGGTATAGTCCTTTGAGGACTTACTGTGGGGAGAGTCGTCTCCTCTTCCTCCTCCTCTTTTTTTTTTTTTACTTAAGCTCCCCCTTATGTAGGCTTAGGTCTTTGATTTCTATCACTCCTGCCCTCACAAGAATGATAGCTCAAAATTGCCAAGAGTAGCATGTCCTCAGGCCAAACTTTCTTCCATGCTTATTTATCTCTTTGGGTCCTGTTTTTCCTTTAATTTTGGCCTGGTAGTTTCTTACCATCATGATGGCTCTCAAGTGCCTTTAAGAAGATGTTTATTCATATTTATTTCAGATCTTTAAGTTATATCTAGCAGGAAAGTCATTTAGCTTAACCTAGCTTATTGTTGCTAAAAAAAAGAAAATCTCCCATGTCTCATTTTAAGTTGTGCATTGAACCAGACCTACTTATGGTTGCTTTAGTTTCATTAAGAAAAGAAACCACTTTTGAAGGGAAGGTGGAAGTTGAGGTGAAATGTAATTTTAAAAAATCTGAACTTATATTTGAAAGCTATAAAGAAAATAATTACAAGTAGAATGCATAAAGACTTAAGAACATTTATTCATAAAGAAGTCATAAAGAAATTAAAAAGTCTAACAGACAAAAAAATTGCAACATATATGACAAAGAGCAAATTTTTTATTATTAAAAAGGTGTAGCAAATCAATAAGCAAAAGGTGAACTTCTCAAAAGGAAGATGACCAAGGCTATAATATGCATCTCACAGGAAGGAAGGAAGGAAGGAAGGAAGGAAGGAAGGGAGGGAGGGAGGGAGGGAGGAAGAAAGAAATATATATATACCAATTAATACATGAAAATATATTCAATATCATCCATAATTAAGAATATGCAAATTATAGCAACAATGAGGTTTTACTCATCAGAAAGTTTAAAAGTTGACAAGAGTGCATACCTTTATTTGGGATGGGAGTACATGAAAATATTAACAGCTCTTACCTCTAAAAAGCAGGCCTATGATTGAGTGAAGAGGAGGAAGACATTTTATTTTCATGATATACACTTTTATAGTACTTGAAATTTTTACTTTATGCGTACACATTTTTTAATAAAAATTTTAAATTTTAGAGTCAATTGCCTAAATGGTTACTTTTCCTTTAAGATTTGGGGAAAGTTTTGCTGTGTTAAAAATGATAGGCCTAAAGAACATTTACAATGTATATTGTCAATTTACTAACTGGCTGCTTGGTTCATACAACAGGAAATGGAGCAGAAATGTTTGTTAGAAAAATAAGGTGCAAATGATTATGCCTTTTGGGTGCTGATTAAAACTTTAGCAGCACAGATCAACAGAACATTGATGGTATTTAACTATTTTCTTTTTCTGTGCACTTCCTGTGACATTGCAGAGATCAGATCTAGTTTGTAGGTTTTTGTTTTCTTGGAAGCAGGGCCCTCATCTATGCACCTAGAATTAAGGCCATTGGTGCATCTTGAATCAAGTCCGGGAGTTAAATTACTATGCTAAATAAAAGTACTCTTTTAACATTTACAAATTTTAAATTATAAACATAACTTTTGTGTTTCTATTTTTGTAGTGTGTGTGTGTGTGTGTGTGTGTGTGTGTGTGTGTTTCATTTTTGTTTTGTTTTAATTGTTGTTGTTTAGGAATGTGGTTTCTTTTAAATCGCCTGTTTTCTATTAATGAAGTTATTGAACTTTCCTGATCCCCTTTGATTGGACTTAGTGCCTCTCATGCTGAGCAGCTCTTCCCAGTTATACTTGGTACAGTTAATTTAAGAATCAGAAATCCAACTCATGCTTGAGATAGAGATGAGGCATATGGTTATAATTCTAGAACTCAGGTGCCCTCATGGTTAGACTGTAGAATTTAAAAAACTATTACAAGGAAGAAAAAGTCTTGTAGCACCCACCACAACAATTTATATTTATATATTTTTTACAATGACAAAGCAAGATAATTGGCTTCTCTATAATTGCACCAAACATAGTATTTAAGTTTTCTGATCATGTCTGACCTCTAGATTGATGGGAGTGGGCGGGTGGGGGGGGTTGGTGGAGAAGAATGAAATGCGTAACGCTTATACAATATTCCCTAACTTAATCTTATGGGGGGGGAAAAAAGCTAGGTAGCATCATTCTAGAATAAATCTCAAAGTGTGTGTCTACTTTTTAAATTTCTAGGTGAGAAAGTGTTTGTATCTCTGTATGGAGCTGCCATAGACATGAATATAAGGCTGGACAAGAATTCCCTGGTCATCGAGAAAACCTACATATCTCTGGCCAATCAGCGAACTGTAACTATTTACAACCGCAGTGACATCATTGCCCATTTCCAGTGGAAGATATTTGCTGCCCAGGGAGAGGAAGACAGAGAAAAGGACAGGTTTGTAAGAAAAATCACCTATATGCTGTCATGTGAGGGAACATAAAGCTCAGTTATTATGAAAAATCAATGACTTTTGTGGTAAGTTTTTAACCAACTCAACAATGTGAAATTTTTATAGCTTGGTTCCTGTGTGTGGTGTTCTTTTTTTCATTTAAGAACTTGATTTGAGCTACATGGAACACAATGTTGTCCATTTTCAGTTAATTTTAACCTGGTTATAAGTAATCGGTAGCTGAACTACTGGATTTTAAACACCAAATACATCATTCTTCACTATTTTCCCAAAACTAATCTACATCTGTAGTTTATTTCATAACTCTAACCACATTGATCAGATTTCATAGGGATTCTATAAATCTCTTTTGGGTTGGGATCAATGTGGAATTTTTTTTTTCAGTGAAAAGATATTTCCAGAAAATAAGAAGAATGAGGGGAAAAAAGGGCTTACATATAATTGCTTTTATAGTCTCAGTTTTAGTAGCATTGCTGAATCCCTGCTAACCATATAATTTACTAATGATTTCTTATTGGTATCTTTAATCTTCTGCTTTTTAAAGTGATACTTCAGGCAGTGGAGAAAATGAATAAAACGGAAACCCAAACTCTTTTAACTAATCTCTTCACCATTGAATTTTGAATATTTCTTTTTACTGAATCTCCCCTTGCCTCTTTTAAACTCCTATCCTCCCTAAATTATCACTTTTGCTGCTTTCACTGGAATTTATTTCTGCCTTTTTTATTTGCCTCCTCAATTTCATTAAAGATTAGCCCTGGGAAGCTTCAAAGCTTTGTTTAAAGCCAAGTTAGTATGTGATAAAAATAAAAGTCTTAGGTCCATGGAAACCAGGCAGAAAGCTCCCACTGTGCTGCCCCTAATTGAATCAGAAGGAGCTGTGGCAGTGACAGGGCACAGTGGACCAGAAGCTTCATCATGCAGACAATGAGCTTTAATCACTGGATTGCCACTGTGCTGTCTTTAAAAAGTGAGACAAGAAAAGTCTTTGCTGCCTAAAAACTTTAGTTTGCCTCATAGTATAGAAATACCCATAGTTTAAAAAGGCAAGAGGAAATGGCTTCCACCCCCCGCCCCCTCCGCTTCATTTGTCCCGATTCTCCAGTCACTGTGTGTATCAACAATCAGAATGGTCCACGCAGGTTTAAAGATAAAATTGGAGATCAGGTACCAACAAAGGAGCCGCAGTAAGCACAATGTTTAAATATCCTGCTTGCCCTGTAGGCATAATGTTCTGAGGAGAATGAATACAACTGTCAGAGGGAAAGTCAGCTTTAATTTCAACTATGTCTGTGTGTTTGACTGTATGTATAGGATGTGATCGATGCCATGCCTGTGTCCAAAAAGTATTTAAGGAAGTTAATTTCAACAGTGAAACTCAAGAAAAATTCAAACCAATTGCTATCAGGGATGCTAAGGTATAGAGAATATAATCTCAACCACACGTAGATGGCTATTTCTTTTCCCATCCACTCTACCTCCCCCAACACTCACATCCTTATCTTTTAAAAATTATCCTTGTTGAGTCTTATTCCTTCTCTCTTGTATTGTCTTTCTTTCACTATCTGCCTTGCTCTTTCTATTAGTTCCTCTAGCAACATTTTTGTAGCAAGGGAATACTATGGGATAGCATTTCCATAACTATGATTGGAAGCCTAATTTTATCATCCAGGATCATGCCCCTCCCTTAAATAATGAACTTGAAAAGTGGTTTCAGATGGCTAAATAAGAATACCTCCATTTTCACTTTGGGTGACACGTAGCAACATAACTCATGTTTCTCCAAACTGGATTGGTTGATCTAAGTGAAGAGTTTATTGGCTGTGATGCTCTCCTTCCTCTGGCCCTTCCCCTGGCCCCTCCCCCTCCCTTTCTCTGTGCAGTAACTTCTAGAATCCTCAATGGGACCTCCACATAGTGGTCAGCATGGATTTATTCCACAACATTTAGGTGTAGGAAATGACATGTTTCTCTAGATAGGTCAATTTTAATTGGGCTTTGAGCCTGCCACCCAGGTAGTAATACATTTAATCTTATTGTGTTTGGGGGGCCTCTCGCTACCCTAGGGTAATACAAGGATCTGAAGACCTGAGTGGTATTGGTAAACGGGAAGAGAGCCTCTAGTCCTCAGTTTATAAGAGTTGCTCAGTGTCCAGGATCACATAGTCCATTTGAAGGTGGATGGCTCTATCTTTTCCATGCCAAGTGTGGATATGGGAGTATTTCTCCTAGCTAGGAAGTCCATGGCTTTTATATTTTACTCTCCTCAGCATCCAGTTACCACCTCTTGGGGCTGCTGCAAAGGAGCAGGGTCTCTAGCAACTGGTTAATCGCTACTGTGCCTGAAACACAAGTCTTCCCCACTGAACTGTACTTGAGGCCTGAAGACAGTGGGCCTTGGTGGCTACCAGACCATTTGGAAAATAGGTTACCTTCCTGGTTTGACTTAGAGAGATGGCTGGTGTGTGGTTACACTCTCTGATGAGAGGTGCCCTCATCTGTAGAACAGGACCACCTCTGAAGCAGGAGACCATAGGTATCAGCAGGACAAATGGCCCAACAATGACTGGGGTACCTAGAATCCCTTGGTGGAGTCAGCCCAGCTTCAAGGTGTTGTTGCATGTTCCTTTCTTAGACCCGGAGCCATGATTCTAGTTCTCCATCTGGTACCTGCCTCCCCATCCACCCCCGCCCCCCATGTGTATTATACAGCTGTTACTGGTTCCAGAGTCTCAACAGTGTGGGAGAAGAGCAGCATTTGGGAATTTTTGTTTTGTTGTCTTTTGTTTCTTGGTGCAAGGATTGAGTTAATCATACTCCTCAATTCAAGGAGCATTATCATCCTTGGTCCATACAAGGCATTTTATCCCCACACCCCACTCCTGTTAACCTGCGAAATAAATGTAATGTTTATGATTCCCATCATTTGTTTAATGAATCCTTAAATCTCTTACATCAAATTTACCCACATTTTTTTTGGTATCATTGCTGGCACTTTGATGAACACCTTTGTAGCTGTGTTTTAATTTACTCCCATGGCTGTTTCTTTAGGATTTATTCCTAAAGATAGGTATCATAAATTCCACTCGCAGGAATTAATGGTTTCCTTCCTTTCTATGGACTGAGCTCTCGTTAATTTGTGCTGCTCTGCCCAGCAGTATAAAAGGACTGCTGCTCTCGTTACCTTGGACACTGCTTCCCAAATAGCAATAAAAAGGAAGCACAGAACGCTTTCTTCCTTGGAACCAGAATACACTGGATCTATTTCTTCGATGTCTTTATGCTATGTGGCCAAAGGAACCTGAATACTAAGGTTATTAAAAAAGAGTTATACGACATTGCTGAGCATATGGTTTGTGTGAAGTCATTTAGAAAATGTTGGGCCTGGGACAGGAATTCAGTGACCCTAGGCCCTCACTGAGAGAACTAAATAATTTGTCTCTCATCATTGGTAATACGGGTAAAATGCTGGTTAAATGGCCATATGACCCCTGAGGAGATAAAATTCGGTCTTCAAAATTCAGATGGAGTAACTGGTACAAGGAGTAATGTGAACACGCTTTCGATGAGGGCGGTGAGTAGAGGGGCTGGGGATAAGCTTTTCTTGATTATCACGGGGGATATGAAGAGCTAGCAAGGGAAAAAAAGAGGTGGCTTTGGTGTAGTTTGAGCACTGTAGAAGCCTGACAGCTTGGCAATTGCCTGTGGTTGACACGGAGAAAAACTGGTGTTTATTGAGCACCTGCTTTGTCCCAGGAATGGCACCAGGTCCGTGATCACATTTAATCCTCAGTACATCTTCATGACGGAGGAACTCCTATTATTTCTATTTTACAGGTGAAGACACTGAGGCTTAGAGGAAATGGGTAACTCCCAAAGTCAAAGAGCTAGTAAATAGATAGTAGAATCACTTTCTAAACCTAGTCCTTGCTGGTTCTAGATTTCTGTTCTTCAGGTAACTTAACAGCTAAGAAAAAATTAAGCTAAGCAAGTTTAAAGGAAACAAAATTGTCCTTGACGTATGAGAGGCAGGGTAGATGTTAAGTATTTGGAAAGCAATCTGGAAACACAATTACCTAAAATGAAATATTTGTCCAAATATTCATAAGGGCTCAGGAGTAAGCAAAGACATTGAAGAGGACAGGAAGCCCAGGAGGACTTCTTGAAGGAAGTGACCAAAGGGGAAATTGAGTCTCTTGAGAAGTTCAAGTACCAGATCACTCAGCTAGCATGTTACAGACTCAGGGCCAGGAGGGGCGAGCCCTGGGTGATGGGGGAAACTGTTGCCAGGACGGTGGACTGCCTGCAGGGGAGCCCTTTTTACTGTTCTTCATGGGAGTACCAAAATGAATCTCTATTTCCTGCTTTTCTTTAGGGTCTGTGAGCATCTGATCAAAGAGGAAAAGAATGAGACCGATGAGTTTCTTGAAGAGTGTGTTATTGATCCTTCCCTCCGAGAACGTCTCTCCATTCTCTCCCGCAGCTTTGAGAATCAGAGAAGGCTGATTCAGGCAAACGTCGTGCTCTCCTTGAATAACATTTTCACCGTTGAGCCCCTGGTGAGCACATACGTACAGCCTGACCATGCAGTAAACAGAAGTGGGAGTGCAGGGCTTGTTTTGGTGAGAGTATTCACTCTGGGATGGACATAGTGAGTTCTGAGAGCGTAAAGATGCCATCTTTAAAGAGCCTCATCATCAGTATGAGACAGTGAATGAAGGTTAATGGTAAGACTGCTCATAGGTTATGTTTATAGGCCACACTCTCTATGCACCAGTCACGGTTAAACACTTTGTATGCATTACCCAATTTATCTCATGTGTATATATATTATCGGTTATAAGCAGTCCCCTATTCTATAGATGAGGAAGTTGAGACTTAGAGAAATTTGATAACTTACTCAAGGCTAAACAGTCAGTAGTTAGAAAGTTATCCTTGATGAGCCTGACTCTAGAGCAGGGTTTCTCAACCTCTGCATTATTGACACTGGGGGCTGGATAATTCTTTGTCCTGTACACTATAGGAGATTTGGTAGCATCCTGAGCTTAATCTACCAGATGCTAGTTGTGACAATCAAAACTGTCTCTGGACATTGCCACATGTCCCCTGGTGGGCAAAATAAATACTCATTGACTGCATGTTCTGTGAGTACCAGGCCCCAATGAACAAAGCAGACATAGTCCTCAACCTCACTGTCTATCTAATGAAAGTGGAACCCGAGTTAGAACAGGACCTGATTCCACAGAGCAAACTTTTGACTACTCTGCCCCACTATCTCAAAGTAGCTAGCATCTTCTGTATTTACTATGTGCTAGGCACAGTTTGTTACCTCACTTAGCAAGCATGGAGTGACATGAGGATACGGAAAGCAATAGGAGCTGAGAAAGCCCAGCAGCTACGAGTAGTTAGAGCTGCTGGGCTGTTACCATTCAAACCAGTTGGAGTGAAGATATGGGGACAAGGGCATATTAGAATACAAGGTCACTTGTGGGAAATGCCACTGACTTGTGTAGATCTGTTTTTCTTATGTCTGCACCTCCAAGTTGTTATTAAAGGATATAGCGTAGAAAAGGGATTCCCTGGATAAATAAGTGTCAGAAACACTGTGTTCAAGATGGTCTGAAATTTGCTGCAAGGCTTCTAAAAGTCCTTAATATGATGTGTACATCTCTGAGAGGGAGCCTGCCACTTGGAGATCTTTTGTGGGACTGTTGTTTTGTGGGCCCTTCTGTGGGAATCACTGGGGAAGACAGTCAGTACAATAGTTCAGAGACTGAGGTGATGGTCATAGACTAAGAAGTTCGAGAAGGTTTCTTGAGCGCCAAAGCCTTGAGTTGGGTCTGGCAGTACGGGACTTTTGGAAAACAAAATTGGAGACCTGCACGGCATGCCTCATTCAAGGCTCCAAGGATGGATCAGTTTGTTTGAATAAAGGGTTCATGTAGGGAAGTTGGAGAAGTGGGCTGAGGATGAATCTTCTCTCACATCAGAAGACCATCCAGGGCTCAGCTGAGTAAAGGGATCTTCAGATATGATGGCTTAGACCAGCAAGAGGTTAAATCAAGATGCACATGTAGCCTTAGAAGGACAGGAAAGATACCAGTTAAAATAAGTCAAGCCCAAAGATGTTGAAAAGATCAGGAAGGCGTTACAAGTGCAAGGAAGCAAATGGCTGAGTGGGGCGGAGGCAGGGAGGACTCATCCGTCATGGCAATCTTAGACATGCCGGTAAGGTCCAGCGTGCAGACAGTTCAAGATTCCTCACAGCTGGCTCTGGAGATCCAGGCTGATGACTGCTGCGCTGTTTCTCATATCCTCTGGGAGTGAATGACTTAGAGATGGCAAATACTGGGGATCAGGAGGAGCTGGGAGGCCCACAGGCAAGTCTTGTACATTTCCAGTCCAGAAGTAGAAAGACTAGTGTTACCTCAGGTTTTCTTCTCCTCATGCTCTCTTCCACAACCTGAAGCTTCTTGATAGAGATAAATGTATATGAAAATAAAGCAATGAATATGATTGCTTTTGAATTCTAGCTAGGAACTGAATTGGGCATTCTTATCATAAGGCATCTTCTCACCATTAGGAAGAAAAATATATTTTAAAACAGTGATACACAGAATTGGTATCTCTTAAATAAATGAGACAAATTTTGTTTCATATTGTGTGAAAAAAATCACAGAAATAGGAGCGGGATAGTATTCACTTAGAGTATAAGTGACGTTTGTAGTACCTGTAATGATTTTGTCTTTTCTGTACACTGTTCAGGTTTTCTTCTCATAATAGTATTCATTAGCTGATTCTTGACAAGTTTTGCAAAATGAAAATGAAGGCATGAAGCTTTCCTAGTGTCTTCCTAAAGTTATTCTGGTCAAAACAGCAGAGCTCAGTGTCAGTTATAGATAGTGAATTATTTATTGATGTTAAATCTTCCCCCTCCCCTCCAACTTAAAGATCCTGATAGTTTTTAGAAATACAGTTGTTAGGAGTGTAATATAATTTTACCTTGTAAATTACTTTCAAAGGCATTTTATGGGAAAATTCTGCCATTTCATTAGCTTCTTGACCCAAATGTGAACTATGGGTATTTTCCATTGTTGAGATTTTTGTTTTCTGGGACAGGTAAATAAATGCTCGAGTAGTTTTGAGTCAGAGAGTTGGGAGAGGATTTATAGAAGAGATGAGAGCTGAACTGTACATTAATTAAATGGAAAGGGAGGAGAATGTTTTTAGCTGGAGAAATTATGAAAACAAACGCAAAAGGGAAACTGTTAGTTTTATGGCATATTATATAACAATAGAATTACTGGTTTTTCTGAAACAGGCAGTCATGGAGAATGTAACAAATAAGACTGGGAAGGCGAGGAGAGGCAACCTGGGCTGCCCGGTCAACCTGTTGTGCTCTAGCCTACAGGCTATTGTCTCCCACAATGCATTTCTGCAAACACTGGACCTGAGGGGCGGTAACGTGTGTTCCTTGGCAAAAGGAAGTTCTATGGTCAAATAAGTTTGGGAAATACTGGCTCAAGAGAAGATCATTCTCCAAGTGGTAGAGTGCAAGCACCGTCTCTCCATGGCCACAGACCCCTTTCCCACACAGTATGCCAAGGGTATCTGAGACTCACGGGAGTGCTCAGAGCAGGAGCTTGGTGTGTTCAAGGGGTTTTAGAAATATTACCCTGGCAGCCATGTGTGCATCAAACCAGAGGAGGGTGGATAGAAAGTGGGAGGGTGGGTTAAGGTCAGGCAGGGGAAATGTGCTTCTGCAGGAAGGGTCAGGGAGACTGGGCATCTGTGCAGGCAAGTTCAGGGTGATGTGTAAGGGTGACGCTGATCTGGATGGTCGGCCTGGTGATGGTCAGAAAGCAAAGGAAACGGCAGATGTGAGAGATGTTCATAAGAAAGGCAATAAAGTGCTTTTTAATTGACTGGTCATTGAGGGTGAGACATGGTAAGGAATCATGTGTCTCCTCAGAACCTGAACTAGAGTGGCTGGGAGAGTTATGATGCGTTTGATAGAAATTAGCAAGCCAGGAGTTCCGAGTTTAACTCCTAGCTTTGCCAGTAACAAATGTGACCTTAAACAAGCCATTTGATCTCTCTTGGCTTTGGTTGCCTTGTACACAAAATAAGGATTTTTTTTTTTAAGGATGGGACACTTGGATCCTTTTTGACTCATAAGTTATGATTCTCCAGTTTGGGAACAGACTCCAGGCTCCTTAAGGTTAAGGAGTACATTGTCCTCTGCTCCAGGCCTATCACAGTGCCATTTAATGGAGGGAGGGACAGAGAGCAGTTAATGATGATGAGTTCGTTTCTAAACATGTTGAAGTTGAGATGATAATAGATGTCCAGAAAATTTTGGAAATGTAGTAATAAACTTGTGGGAGGGCAATTAGGACTGGAGGTAAGATATGTGAAAATCTTATAGAGGTCCTCACTGAAGGCATGAAAAACCGATGGAAATTCGAAGAGCAGAGCAAAGACGGAAAATCACAGAGGGCCCAAGACAGCCCCCAGGTGCTCACCTTTAAAGACCCTGAAAATCTAGGGTGAATTCACAGAGAAGGATGGCTAAGAGGCGGACTAGCCAGCTCAGAGCTCACCCGCCTATCTTCCATGTCTTTCTACGCTTTATGGTTGGTTCATCACCATTTTCTACTGAAAGTCTCTTCTGAATCTTGCTCAGGTGTTATATCAGTTATGCCAAAGCCACTATTTAATTTCTGACAGTTGAGCTATGCCTCAGCAGTTAGTGTTTTTTTTTTATTAGAGTGTGATTCCTTTTAATTAGCTTCTTGGTGATATGAGTTGAGTTCACAGTAGAAGCAGAGAAGATTAAAACCACACAGTGTCACCTACTGATCTAACAATCAATTTCTAATTGATATCCTATTCAAAAGATAAAAATAAAATAAAAGGTTGAACTAGGGGCTTAGAGACCACCTTGTGTTTTGATGAGCTTATCAGCCTCTGTGTCCACTGAGCAAGGTCATTGTCTTCAAATGAGGCAAACTTAAAAAGGAAAAAAAACTTTACCTTAGTGTCTGAAAAGAAAGAAGAAATGATATGCTTATTTTCTCAGGCCTATGTCTCTATATTTTGGTTATTCAAACGAGCCAGCTAAAACCTTATTGTGTCTCTGCATATTGTGTGCCTTATGGGAATATCATCATATTTTGGAGGTTCTTTCAATTTAAAGCAAGTAGATTCGAGATCAAGAGTCCAGTCACTGTCCCTAAGAAGCCCAGAGGTGGTGATGGGTTTGAATTTATTAATCAAATTTTATTAATATAATCACGTGAGAAGTAATTTGACTCAATGCTCTAGGAATGACTGACCAAAACTCTAGAACTAAAAGTTCTTTCTCTGTTCTACAACCTGTTCACCACTTGGCCCGTGGTTCATCCCATTTTCTTGGCCCACTTTTTCTCATCATGTTCATTGTATAATGTTGCCATGGGATCTGTTTTTTGAACCTTGAGGAGTTGTGTTGGGTGTCGAGTAGTGAAGTGGTTGCAGAGTGCAAAGGTGGGAACTTTTGAGAGATCCAGGAGGTGTT